GTTTCTTGTTGATTAATGGGTTTGTGATGGTTGTTTTTGGGGGGCTATTGGGTTGTGTTTGGTGTTGAATGGGTGTGCTTGAGTTTAGGGGTTCTTCGATTGTCTACGAATTTGGTTGGGTGTCTCATGGTGGGGTTTGGTTGTCGAATGTTATTGGGTGTGTTTTGTCTGTGTTTGTGGGTATATTTACCGTATAATGCTACTTTATGTCTCAATCCAGCAAACGTTAAAATTCTATAGAAAATCGTCCTACTTTTAATCATGAGAAGTTCAAATCTAAAGAAAAAGCCACACTATTTAGGGATTTCTTTGCCTCCCGCCAAGTCCATCTTGAACGAAATGTCCAACCCAACACCTTTGATTTCATTCCCATTTGTCGTGTGTTCACTCCTTTGGGTGGTGACATGGTCTTCTCTTTTCAGGTTCTCAAAATATTGATTCGGTGCGTAAGTTCTACTGTAGCATTCACTCTATTAATGAGTATGACCCTTCGTTCATCACTTGGGTGAGATCTAAAGAAATTCATGTCACTGAAGAGTTTATCCGAAATGCACTTGGTATTGCACTGATTGTTAATTGTCATTATCATTTTCTTGCCCCTCCTAATGCTGATTTCAATTTGGTTGCCTTTGAACTTTATGGGTTATCCCAGATTTGGGTTTTCAGGGCTCTTATCAAACAAAATGAACTTCTCTCTTCCTTCCGTCTTTTAAATCTCATTATCTGTACGAATGTTCATGTTACTCATAGTTCTAACATCAATCAAGAACAAAGGTATGTTTTGTATTGCATTGATCGCCTCCTTTCCAATGATCTTCTTACTATGATTGTGCAAAAAATAATCTCAGTCTTCGAGGGTAAAAATCTTTAGGTCTTCCTTGTGGTTGCCTCATCAATGGGATCATCTCCTCTCTTGAGGTTTCTTCTTCTAGTGATGATGGGCATGCTACACCTATCAAACCATTCACCAAAAATACTATTTCTCAGAGTCGGGTGCATGTTAAGGAGGAGTCTTCGAAGGCTAGTCCTTCTGTTGCAGGTGAGGAACAGTTGGCAGAGGAGGTTGAGTTAGATGCCGCAGTAGCCAATAATGGAAAGGCGTATGTTCGTGCTCGTACTATCTGAGGCCAGCTTCTCCAGTTAGAGTAGGTCATGTCACAACGCTTTGATCATTTGGGTACTCACGTAGATGGCTTTGATGCATGCCTCATCACTTTTGAAACAGCCATTGATGCTCATTTCACCACATTTAAGGCCACCATTAGCCCTATTGAGCACTCGATGGATCAGTCATTGCTTCAACTTGCTCAGATTCTTTCTTATCTTCAGATGCAACAACCTCCACCTCCTCCATTTCAGTGATGGTTTTTCTACTTCTCTGACTTCTATCTCTTTTTGGATATGTTTTCTCTTTTCTAGTCATGTACTATTTGATATCTTGTACATGTTTCCTCTCATCTTGCTACTATTTTGGACTTATTTTGTTGATGGTATATTGGGATCTGTTTGATATCTATTGGGGTTTGGGACTTGTTATCATGCATTTTGGATATTGGTTCCCTTTCTACTATTTGTTCCCTTTGTCTCTCTTGGTCAAAAAGAGGGAGTATTAATGTTAGCATGATTGTTGGTTATTGCTTATTCATGTTTATCATTGCTAAGCATATATTCATGTGTATCCATCTATCTCTTGTGTTTGTGTTGGACTTATTGTGATTTGTGCAGGTAGCTCACCACACAAGTTGTTTAGAGTGGTTAGGCTTTGTGTCTGGAGTGTGTGTTTGATAGGTTTCATTGTTAGAAGTGTTTTGTTTAGAAATTGCCAAAGAGGGAGATTGTTGGGTTGATTATTTTGTCAATTTCTCATAAAAACACATTTGTGTTTTATCGTTTGTGCCTAGCATTGTTCACTAACCGCTCAAGCAGTGAATTATGCGCTCAAGCGCTGAAATGGTTCGCCTAATAGTTCAGACTTGATCTGAGATATTGGGAGGATTCATTCTTCGCCCGAGTGAACTTTTTACCGCTCAAGCGAAGTCACTTATTGTTCTACCGTCTCTTAGACACACTGCTGGAATGGTATTTCTTAAGCTCGAGCGGTCTTTGCGACCCTATTTTGTATAAAGTTGCGTAAGTTGCATGTTTTAGGGTTACAACTTCTAGATCTAAAACTTGAGATTTGAGGACTCTTGTGTATTCATTTGGAGAGCCTAGCTATTGTTTTCCCTTGATGATTTTGTGAGTTTGTCACCTCACATGGATTGAATTGCACATATCAAGAGGCTTGTCACGATTCAATTTCTCTAGAGTGTTTCATCGGTGGATTCCAGAGATTTTGAGTTTGGAAGCTTTGAAGGAGTTCGAAGTGGCTCAATGTGGTGGATTCAACTTGGGTGTTGTGGATTCAACACTGGGCTAATCAATCCCGAGACAAAGATGTTGATGGAAGAGACACAAGGAGTGGAAGTCAATTCATGAGTGAGAGTTGGGTAATTGCTTGTACTCTTGTGTAATTTCATTATTTTCATAATGGATTGTTTAGTGGCTTTTAACCCGTGATTTTTTATCACAATTAGAGGTGCTCTAATTGTGATTTTTTACACGTTAAAATCTTGTGTGTCAATTTATCGATTGTGAAACAACAAGATAAATCACTTTTGTATGTGTTAAATGATTTAGATTATTTATTTTTTATATTTAAGATTTATAATAATTGAATCTATTTCGAATCACAAATTACATAGATTTTTTCAGAATTGGCCCACACTCAAATTTTAAAACCAAGTGAAAGAAGTAAATATCTTGAGCTTCATTTCAACTGAATTAATTGCCCAACGAAGTGAAAAACTCATATTTCATCTAAACTATTAATACTATGGAGAATTTTATTATATATACTTTTTATTATACGTATTTTTAGTTATGTAAATTTTTTTTTTTTTGAATTATGATTAATTTTCTTCTTTAGTTATGACATTATTTTGATATATTTAATTATGATTTTTTTTTTATGTTTGATTATGATTTTTTTAGTTATAACTCAAAAAGTACGGAATTATACCATTTTCTTTCATAATTATAAAGTACATATGATACACATTCTTTAAAAAGTGTTTAATGGAATCTTTTCTTAAAAAATTCTATTATACAACTCCCATATTATACACACCCATAGTTATGTTTAAAGTTTAGAATTTAATCATTTCGGAACCCCCGATACCGCCTCGTTTCATTGACTTTTGACATTTTACAAATTGAGAAATCCTCTTTATTTTTTGTCACCCTTGTTGCTCACTAGATAATTCAGACTTCGGCTCATATTTGGTGGAAATTTTACTTATAAATTACTTTACAGAAGTGTAAGTATAATTGTAGAGCTGTTTATAGCTTTTTCTTTTTATTTTTAATTATTATTATTTTTTATTTTGAATTTGTGTTAGAATATTTAGTGTAGTTTATTCTTACAATTTATGAGATATAAAAGTTTATGGATAAATTACAAATACATCCCCTGAAGTTTGATTAAAATACGAATCAACTCTTGTAGTTTTGGAAATTACATTCCACCTTCCGAGGTTTCTAATTTCATAACAAATCGTCCTTTTTAATAATAAATCATGAAATTAATTAACAATTTTTAATGCTGTTAAAAATATGTTTCAATTAATAATTTAGAAATTTTATTATTGTATATGGGAAAGCAATTATGAATTTTATTTTTTTAGTTAATTCTGTTAAATAAAAAATTCTGACAATAGAATATTTGTAATTTTTCAAATCATATGAAACAATTTGTACTTTAAACAAACCACAGGAGGTGTATTTGTAATTTATCCAAAATTTAAACCTGAAAAAAGAAGGTTTTTGAAAAAGTTAAGGGAGAAGTGCTTTTATCTTCCTTTTTTTTATATCAATTTTCAATTTACTAAATCTGACTAAAGAAGACCTTCATAAGCAGAAATAATTGAAATAAATTTTAAAAAATTGATTATCTGAAAGTTAAAAGAAAAAAACTTTCAGTTTACACTTCATGAAAAACTGCATCAAACAAGTTCTCTATAAAATATAAGTGTAGATTTTATCACTAAATATAATACATTTTTATGAATTTTAAAATATTTTTTATATATTTAAACTTTTTCACAACACCTTTACTCACATTCCAATATTAACAAGTATAGGCACTTGTTAACCTTTGTCTTGATTTATTTATTTATTTTGTGGTGCAAGCTAGCTCTTTCTTTATTACAACGACTAATACAATTATTGTAGAGGGCAAAGCTACTATGTCCCATTTTTTTTTTAGTGTATATGATATGTACTTTATAAAAATATAAATTTTTACTTCTTACAAAATGTATAATTTTTTATCACAAAAAGTATAACTTTAATTATAGATAACTTTTAAGTACACATTAGAACTTCACCATTAATAAATTTCATCACAAAAGTTGTAGTTTTCATTACAAAAAATTTATAATTTTTATCACAAAAATCATAACGTTTCTTAAAATGTGCAAAAATCACTGCTGGAAAAGAGGGTTTTAGCGGCGTTTAAAAAACGCCGCTATAGGTCTTAAAAACGCCATCTAAACCTTTTGTGACGTTTTGCACCAAGCGTCGAAGATGCGGCCGTCGCTATAACTTTGTGACGCTTTAGAAATGTCGCTATATTACTCTAGGCGGCGTTTTATAAACGCCGCTAAAAGTTCCGCTATGACATCACCATGCTATTTAGCGACCTTTTAAAACGTCGTCGTACTCTTTTTGAAAAATCTAACCGTTGATATAATATTTAACGACGTTTTTAGAAACGCCGTGATAGCCTCTTTTTTTTAAAAAAAAAATTGTGCTAATTTTATATGATTGAACTAAAAAATCTGAAAAATAACACTAACATGAAATAATAACTCTCATTCAAATATCAAATACAACATTAGTTCACTTTCGTATTCAATTTAATATCCAATCACCATTAATCACAAAATAACACATTCACAAATCATGTTTTAACAAAGACATTAACCGAGAAAGAAGTGTTGAGCTATAATGATTGATCCAACTATACAAGAGATGGCAAATTACTACCAAGAAAATTATCCCCAACTCAAGATATCACCAAAGTAAGAGACTATTGAACTTTACTAGATTGCATTTCAAAAATCTACTCATGCCTGTAACATAAATTTCAAGTTTGGATGAGTTAAATTCAAATTGATTCAAATTGATGAGAGAGTTCACTGTTAGTCTTCATTGGTCTACATACCTGTATCAGAACATAAATTACAATCAGATTCACAAAAATAAACATAAATTGAAGAATTTGTAAACTTAATTTTCTTAATCACTTGATTGCATTTATTTATTTTTAATTGTTTAATTTTTTTGGTAGAGGTGGTTAGAGTTTTGCTCCTGACACAAAACTATGATTTAAGTTACAACTTTACTCTTTCAATAGTATTTAAACAAAAACTAGGGCTAAAATTTTTGTTTTCACCCAGAATTGAAAAGAAGCTTTAAAAACAATTTAGGTTTTAACAAAAGGCTCTGTTTAAGGGATTTATTACATTTCTTTATTTATTATTTTTCCAAAAAAGACTAAAGCCCATCAATATAAACTTTAAGCCTATTGTTGGCAACTGTAATTGAGCTCTATATTCCCTTTCTTAATTGGAATCCCAATTTTGTGCATTAACAAACAAAAGTTCATATGCCAGAATCCTCTCCTTAAAGAGGACCTACAAAAATTTTGTTGTGTTACAGAAATTAGGCTATCAAATCCCAAGGATTTTAACAACAGCAAATTATTTTCACAATCAACATAAACTATAAGCCTACTATTGGCAAGTCACCAACCAAAAAATGAAGGGGAAAACACTGACCAACCCACATACCCTTATCTCAAAATGCAATATTTATCACAATATTCAGTAACATAACTAAAATGGCGACGACTCAAAGGAGAAGAAAAGGCAAAAGTGAACCTGCAAGAGAGTCCAAGCATGCTGCAGTAACAGGGCAACCTTCCATGTTCAGTAGAGAGAGCTTGAGCAAACCTGCAATGCACATAGAATAAGAGAGACTATTATTACAAAGAATTGCAACACTTGTTTGCTTTTCTTGTTGATAAATGAAAAGTGCTTTAATACACTATTGTAGAGAAAAACTATTCAGAAAACTATTCATGGAAATCACATCTGCTCTACAACATATTCGAAGATAAAAAACTCACTCACTTAGAATGACCAAGGCAAAAGCTCTGTATCTCATGAGCTCCATCTAAAGGCTTCTTTGGAAACAGGGAAACCTATCACAAAATAACATTGTTGAAAACAAATTGAAATGGAATTTAATATTTAATAATTTATTTGTTTCAATGGGTAAGAATCGTCAATTACACGAATTTTAAAATCCCGATCAGTACTAATAATGAATCGTCCATCCGGTGAGAATTCCTGCAAGAACATAAAATTGTTTAGAAAAAGCCCAGCTTACAAGTAATGGTCATTCATGCATCCACACAAATGTAGCCCTAATTTCAAAGACTTTTATGTAATAACTCATAAGAATTTAACAATGTGTATAGGAGTAGAGAAAGAATACATATATATATATATATATATAAACCTCAAAAACATTGGCAGGAAAAATTGTAGAAAAAAGATAATGATAAAATCTATTATGTCCAATTTATTCATGTTATTCATGGGAAAATGGAGGGAATAACCAATGATTCACCAAAAATAAAAACTAAAAAATAAAACTTAGCAGAAATGTCTAGGACAATAAACTGAAACATCTGATCCATAACTCTTGAGGACAAATCTACATAACCAAGTCTTGCACGTATAATGAGAAACCAATTAAGTTTTGTTTTGACAATAAAAAAAAAAGTTCTGTTTTTTAAGCATTATAATTATGATATGGTTTTTTAAGCATTATAATTATGCCAATTTCCACACTAGAAGTTTTTTATTGCATTAAAAAATTAAAAAAAAATTAAAAAAAAATACTGTTCTGTCTAAGGAGACATTACCATGAGGATCTTCAAGCTGTGGCATTTGAATGAAAGTTCTATTCAGATCAAGTTTGACCAAGATAGTCATAATTTCATGTTTACCAAGCACTATAAGCAGATTATGGAAGGTGATGCACCTTTAGTAATAGACAAAAAGATACCTCTATGGAAGTATCCCTTCTCTCAGCTGTTACAACAAGTGTTTCAATGTTCAAAGCAGAACCAAACCCTGTAGTAGATGAATGTTGCATGCCTACATAGATGGGATGCTCAAGAAATCAACACTAGAAAGGAAAAGTAAGGGATTTCATGGTGAAATGAGGATTTAATATTGAAAATGGCAAGCATGATAAAATAACTTACTCGAAGTAATTGCCCTGGAAGAATGTAGAAACCCAGAAGAAGAAGATAATACAGTTGCTGGAACGCCAGTTGCATTCTGTGATGAGATCATTTGTAAAGACCGAGAGACAATTGAAGGCAAAGAACATCTTAGATGTGTAAATTAAAATAAATAAATAAAACCAATAAAAAAGTAATTTTATTGAAAACAATACATACAATGCCTTTTAAGGATGTACAGACGTCTATAAAGCTTACTTCAATCCGATTTATTCATTTTTGGAGAAGACTTTTTATTTTTTGGTAGATATTGTAGGAGTTACATTTTAGGGAAGGGATTTAGTTTTGGGATTCTTGTGTCTAATTAATTTTTTTTTCTTTTGCTGTACAGGGGTGACACCCCCTAGGTGTCCATCTGATACAGTTCCGTACTTATTCATAAAAAATAAAATACAATGTAATACCTTCTGAGGATTAGGAATATCACCCAAGGAAACATTTGAAGAATTCCCAGGAGGTAAAATTGGTTTTGAGAAAGTGCCTGAAGTGGAATGTGCTTTATGCCTGTCACCGAGTAAACCTTGGTGTATTTGTTGCACCGGGAGGGAAGAAGAGAGTTGCTTCCCATGCTGTGAGGACCTAGGTCCCACTAACTGCCACAAGGAATCAGGCATCTAATGTAATAAAAACAAAAAATAAAAAAAAAACACGAACCGCTAGAGAATGCTTCGCTTAATAAACTAAAGCAGCTCAAGCACAGAAAATGAGAATACAGAACATGGAGGCACTATCTTCTAAAAGTAAGAATACATGCAACCAGACATATCCAAGGCAAAAAACTATACACAGAAAATGGGGTCACTGAAAACAACTTGGTACGGCATGGCAGACTCCAACTAATAGCACAAATACAAAGCAGCACTTTAAAGATCATTTAATCTTCTACATGCTCAAGAATTCCCCAATCCTAAAATGTATTTCAAGAAAAATTAACAGCTTGATTGGAAACAAATTATTAAAGTGTGACGATAGTTTTGCAAGAATGAAGGTACATAATGAGAACTAGTAACAGAAAATCTAGAAATATGTTATAAGATTGGAATTCTGCAAAAAATTGTGTTACTCAAAGAACCAAAAGCATGTATCAAACGAGCTGACGGGAAAAAAATATAGGGAAAAAAGAAAAGGATTAAGAAGGTTTTAACTAAAATAACAAAACTAAATAATATTTGACATTACTAATAAAAATTAAAATATACCAAATAAATGAGTCAACAAAGAAGCTTCAAGTCAATTGATAATAAAAACAAGGAAATTCTAGTCAAAATAAATAAATAAAGAAAAAAAATCCAGTTTCGATCATTCATGTTGATAATGCAATGATTGCTGGTGTGCATCATATATTTGTTATAGAAGAAACCTCCCCGAATGTAGCAAGGCCACACACCATTTCAAGCATTAGCATACACTAAATGAGTATGTGTGTGATGAGAACAATCAATTTGATCCATTAATGTATATTAACTACAGTGACATGATCTGAGAATTGACCAAAAATATGTAAAGAAGTATTTCTTTCCTGTGTAATAGGCATAACAAAGAAATAATCTACAAAATCGAAGGGGGTGATGACTCGCAACCGCCATCTGAGCTTGGCCATGACAAAGAGCTCCATACGTTGAACTGTTTTGGGCTCGAACATGAATTTTGGTTCTAATACTTTTAAGTCTAACAAAAGAGGAGCTCTTGTTTCCTCCATTTTGGCAGCCAGAGACAAGCATGCCACCGATAGTAACTGCCACAGCCATCTTTTCCCCTCCTGTGCTGAACAATACTTGTTAATAATAAATAATAAATTTATTATTAAAATAAAATAAAATAAAAAACAGAGGAATTTGAATTTGGAGCCATGGATTAGTGTCTTCATTCAATGGTATGATTGATTTTGAGCAACGCTATAAAAGCACGATATGTGTGTACTTATCATTTCATCTCTTAGATTAGCAACCACATTGACTTTTGTAACACAAGCATATGCAGTTTATTCAATTCAAGCGCTAGTTACCAACAAGAAGCTTGTTATAAAATTTATAATTAAAAAAAAACACAAGAAATTTTTTGAATTGATGACAAGTTAATATACGTTTGGGAGTGTTATGATTTTGCCTAGACGCGTGTCACGATCTTCTAACTTGAAGTAGACAGACATGGTCCGACAATCTAAGTTTTGTACGACTGCTACCTTCTGAGTTCTGTTGGCTAATAATGTATCTGAACCCAACAACTTCTCGTTGGATTCAAAAACACCTGTTTTCAGTAATTAATTCCAAAAACTGTTTTGGGCAACAATTCACCAAAAAAGTGATCCATGTTTCTCAAAATACCAAAACAGAAAACAAAAAACAGACAAACAGAGGTATGGTTACTAGTAAATGAAGAAGGAATTATCGGCAAAACATGAGAACAGAGGAATCGGTCCAAGTAGTTAATAGAAAGACAAGTTGTTTCATCTCTGAAATTATAGTAACCATGCACCTAACAAGCAAAACACATTTTGTGAAATTGATTGCAAAACAGAGTAATAATTAGATATAGACACAAAATATGTTGTAATGTAATGTAATGTAATGTAATCTAAGCCATATCAGACAATACCTTCAACATCGAGTCATGCCACCAATGGCATTCTTGGTGGGGATACTTCTATAAGTGCCACACCACATCCTATTAGTCAAGCATTAAATCAATTTAGAAGACAAACAGCAGAATCAATTAAAGGACATCAAATCATAAAGTTTCAAGTGATAACTTGTGTAATAGGCATAGCATTCCGCCATGTGTTCACAAAGGGGCATCATTGTTATCAACTAATTCCATTCAAAAGATAATTCATCCACTAGGAAAGATCAGAAGTATCATCTTTTATAACCTAGATAGTCACCATGACAGGAAGTGAAAAACAAAAACATTTTTAAATATAAACATAATTAATTAGCGGTTTTTAAAAGTAAGTTTCTTACATTCATTCAGAATATAAACATACATTTTAGAACTATCAACCTTGGACCAGCTATAAGGATTGAGATGTAATATGGGCAGTTCTCCGTGTCGTTTTCCTGCCTCGTAGTTTAATGGTCCTGCAAGGTTGCACAATAAACATTTTATACACATAACAAATTTTACTTGGCTGATGTAATATGTAAATCAAATGTGTTAGTAGTACAAGAACTCAAAAATGTCCAAACAACCCATTTCATGTATATCATGACAACATATTGCGGACAAAATGGTAACTCAATCAACCTTGTATTCTAAATAGAATTTAATTTCTCACACATTTGAAAAACAATTTTACAGTCTAATATTTGTGTACAGATACAATAAGTAAAGCTATTGTAACAACAGATAAGTTGAGAATTCCAAAATTGATGTGTTTCAAGAATGCAGTACCATGTTCATAAACAAACCCATCAAAGCTATAGCACCTTGGCCCCCCATTAAGCCACAAAACGACCGGATCATTCGATGGCTGTCTTTCCGACTTGACAAAGTAGTAGACGAGTTGTTTTGCAGGATTCTCATCTATTGATACATACCTTGACATCACACCCAAAATCAAAACATTTCTAAGTTATGTTTGGAATTTGAATTTGTTGAGAAAAAAAATTAATAATGGGGAAATAAAATTACTTGTACTTCTCGATTTTCTATGATAATCAAACAAAAGAAGAAGAAGAAAACCAATGAAATTGCAAGTCCTTTTAAGTGTGATGAATCAAAATCACACAGTCATAAAAAATATAAAAAAATAAAAAAAACAAAGGTTGGGGTGGAAATGGAAAGAATCAAAGGAAAAGGAATGAAAGAAGAAGGTAAAGCGGTTGGGAGAAACTGGGAAATGATAACAAAGGGGAAAGAATCATCCACAACACATGAAATGAGAGGAGAGTGAAATTAAAGAAGACTTTACTTTTTGGATTCATTCTTCCTTCCCTTTTAACACCCTGTTTTGGCATTTTGTAGGTTTTTTTTTTTTTTGAAACCTCCCTTCCTCCACACATGCAATGCAAACCTCTTCTATCTCATAGAGCAATGAAGAGAATATGTGAAATTCGATCAGAGAGATTAAGAAAGTAGATTTGATATTACCATAATAGCAGATCGGAGAGACAGAGAGAGTAGATCTGATCGGATAGAGAGCAGATCTGAGAATAAGATCTACATCTCTACGTCGTTGAGCTTGCTTCGACTCACTGTTGGTAACAATCCAGATCCAACGCTGCTTGCTATCCTGTACGTGATCAGAGACATTAACACGGCACTCAAAACCCTAGAAAAATCGATTTGAAAAGAGAAAATACAAAACAGAAGAAAAGAAATTAGAAATCAACCATAAATCGTTAGTTTAAGCCATTAAAGTCTACAGATCTTGTGTGAATGTAGCAAATCCATATCAAAAAACTCTAACCTTGAGCCCTAGATCGACTTAGATAAGAGGGATTCAAACAATATTACAGACAAATGCTCAAATCAAGTGTAGAACAAGCATTTCCAGATCATACAACCAAAGAATTGATAGAGATCGAAGATCCAAGGCCTTGCTTTCTCTCTCTGCCTCTCTCTCTCTCTCTCTCAAAAGCAACGTTGTGTTCTCTAAAGTCGCGCCTCTTTTTTCATCAGAGAAGTCCTGCCTCTTCAATCACAAGTAAGGCCTCGTTTGGGAACAGGTTATTTTAGTAATTTTTTGGCTCTTTACAAAAAGATGTGCAGAAAAGTAGAGAGGTGATATGACAAGTTTTAGTTGGCTTTTTGACTAAAATAGCCACTCTCCAAACGAGGCCTAAATGTTATTTCACAATTTTTTTAATATTGGTGTACAAAACGAGATGAGTAATTAAATTTGTTCAAAATGGAAAAAAGTATAGGAGATTTCACGACGTTTTTCAAAAGCGTTAGAAAAAAAAAACGTGGTGATAGCCTCTGTTTCTTGTAGTGAATGCACATTGTATCATTTTCCTTTCCATTATTATATTGTTAAAGTATCATTTTTTGGACTTAAAAAGAGGTATGGATACAATATTAAGCCGCATATGTGGCGTAAGTTATATGAGCTGGTTATAGTTTTTTTTAATTTTAAAAGTTTGTGCTAAATTATTTGGTTTAGTTTTTATTTGCAATTTATTACTCAAAAATAAGTCAAATAAATTTAAAAAATATTAATTATATAAAAGTCAAAAGATAGATACTTTTAATTTCTATTTTTTTATTATTAACTTTTTAACTGGCACCAAACGGGTGCATTTAGCTGCAGACTTCACCTTTTGAAAACATTTATTTCTTGCAAATCTTTTATACCATCCTTAGAAATAAACAGGAACTACAATCACTACAAGAAAAAGTACCTTTGGCGATTAAATTTTTAGTCGCCAAAAGTCTGTTTTTAGTTGCCGAAAGTCGAGTTTTTATTTTCAGCAACTAATTTTTTTAGTCGCCCGTTTAGTCACGTATATATGGTCGCTGGAGGTATTGGCAACTAAAATTTTTTTAGTCGGCAAAAAATAGCTTTTTAGCAACCAACGATTTAGTCGCCAATAGCGATTTACATTTTTTAACATCACACATTTAGCGACTAATCTTTTAGTCACCAATAGTC